GTAATATTGGATGGTTTGTTTTCCAAAAGCTAAATTTGTTTCTCTAAGAATATCAGTAAATATTGAAATATATTCCTATTATTGTATTTGTATTATGTTTCAGAGTTGCTTCAGTCATTTCAGGAGCTATTTAGAAAATTGATATCTAATTTCTGCTCCATCATAAATTTTAATTGTTCACTGTTTTAAAGGGTTATGATGTTCTTGGTTTTACACATAGAGACATAGGATGTAAAAGTAAAGTAATTATGCACAGTTTATACACTGGTCACTGATTAGACATTAACAGGAACACTGAAGTAAAACAGTTTAGACACCTCACTTCAGGAAGAATTTTAAGGCCTTGGAGGGATGCAAATTGCTTAGAAGGAATAGATTATTTTCTTAATCTATTATAAAGACAATGAATATAAAATATATACCAACCTACAAAATAGATGTTCACATACAAAATACACAATCACCACATTTTACAGTAAAATAATGTAAAGCACTCTGAGTGATTCTCCTGACATAAAAGATGCCACCGTATATCAGATGCAAGGATTTTTTGTCTATGATTGAACGAGTTTCTCTGGCTCTGTTTGGTGAATTTTAGAGAGTCCAATGAGAATCACTTCCTGAGAAAAACTTGTGTTTCACACGTCTTAACCTCCAGCTCCTTTGGTGCCTTATCATCTAATTGTGCATCTGCCTGGCTCAGTTGGTAGCACTCTCCCTTCTGGCCCAACATCAAGACTGACACTCCAACGCAGTGCTGGAGGAGCGCTGCATTATTGGAGGTGCCATTATTTGGATGAGACATTAAACTGAGGTTCCATCTGCCTGTTCAGATAGTTGTTTAAAATCCTATGGCACTATTCAAAAAGAGAGGTTGACTGTCCCAGTGTCTTGGTCACCAATCCCCCATAAAAGACTGAAGCACTTTGAAATGTCTCAACGTCATGATAAGGCACTGTATCAAATGCAAGGATTATTCTTATTAAAGTTGGGAAATTGCTGTGTGCAAATTGACTGTCACATTTGCCTACAAATAGAGTCACTACACTTTACCGTAAAATCCTATGAAGTACATTGAGATATTTCGATAACATGCTGAGACGCTAAACCAAAAGGAAGGATTATTGTAACTATTCTGGTAGGCAGGTTCCACATCTGAACATCTGAAATACCAAAATTAAATGTTATGTGGCCCAGTCCAACTTTGCAAATGACAATCCTGAAAGGATTACGTTTCAGATCTCTGGTTCAGTGAGTAATATTTTCAATTATTATACATATTACATAGTTAAAGTACTTTTGGAATTGGTTTTAGAATTATTTCAATGCTGTGATTCTGTTACAAAAACTTGCACTTATTCATGTGAAAAGCTTTCTTAGACATCCAATACCATAGCACTGAAGAAAACATGACAGAATGTTTCTGTTGGGAAAATTAACTATGACCTTCAACGTCAATGTGTTACCCTGCACTGCTATAACGGCATCAGCTTTGACAATATAAGTGAGTAAATTACAGTGAGCAAGCAGCAAAACAAGACAAAGAAAATTGTTAAAAAGAAATTCCAACTCTAAGAGCTAATGCTTGATATATGTTGCTATTTTCAGAAAAGCTGCAGTCAATTTTACAACAGGACAGAGAGCATGGCACATACATATAATGATGTTGATGAGTGGGATGGTATTAATGCATTTGCTGCTATTTCAAGCAGATGTATCATGTTGAGTGTGGGGAATTGTGCCTGAAACTCAAATGAGTAATCATCAAAGTATAATTTAGCATGAATTGAATCCTTAGGACAACATGGGCTCTGTGGGTTATAGAAAAACACACTATCCAGTGATATCCAGTGACCACAACACTGTGAAGGAGAAATTACAGATACTTTCAAAATCATGAGTGTCCCATGAAAAGCCATAGAAGATAATTTTCTTTGGTCCTGTTGGTGTGTAATGTGCATTTCTGTACTCAACCAACAATACTAGGTTAAGAGGTCTGGCTCACAAAAGGATTATTTTCCCATAATACAGCAACAACAACAACTTACCCTTATATAGCGCCCTCCACCCAGGATGGTGTCTCAGAATGCTTAATAGTGGCAGAGCCCGACTCCGAGCCAGTGGGGTGGGGGGGAGGTGGCCATAAGCGTGGTCGAAGAGGAAGGTTTTCAGGCTGGACTTGAAAAAGGGGAGAGAGGGGGCAAGGTGGAGGGATTGAGGGAGAGTGTTCCAAAGTTTTGGGGGTTAGTGGCTGAAAGTGCGACCTCCGATGGTGAGTCGGAGTTTGGAGGGATGAGCAGGAGGCCTGTGCCAGTCGAGCGGAAGTGCCAGGGTGGTGGAATGGTGAGTGAGGAGGTCGGAGAGACAGGGAGGTGCCAGCGAGTGAAGGGAGTGAAATGGCTCATAATCCAAAGATTGTGAGCAATTTTTTCTCCCGCAGTGGAAATGTATTTAGGGGTTCTATTGCAAAGAAATGAATTGTTAATGTGTGCTGTAGAGGCCAAGATGCTAAAGGTTTTGTAATATAATACATTGCTCTCTCTGTTTGATAAGCCTGAGATCTGCATCTCAAAACAGTGTATACTGTAATTAGTTAATCCTTATATTTGATATATCAATCACTCTGGGACGCTACCTGCATTAGGGGTTGTTGACTGCGAGATAGTTCCTTTCCTTTTTGATTAGTGCCATTGAATCTTTAATGTCCACCTGTATAGGCAGACAGGACCTTAGCTTCATTCTCATCTTCATTCTCATCCAAGAGCGTGCTTCTGGACTCACACCAGAGACTATTCTTGGGGTATTCGCTGTTCATAATATTTAATGCTGATCTCAATTAAGGTAATTTAATTCAGGTTAATAACACTAGAAAATGGGCAATTGAATGATGGAATGTGCCATGGAATTGAGATGAAATAAAGCAATATACTATTTAAGGTTGTACAGTGAAGAGTTTGCAGTTACAGAAAGTGAACAGGTTGAACATTTTGGTGCGCTAGGTGACCAGAAATTGGAAGTAAATTCACTAAAAAATATCAACTTAGAAAAATAAACCACCTATTCACATTGCGTCAGACATGATGGTAAGTGCTCAGTACACACAAATCATTTGTAATTACAAATCTTTATTAATTTTCTTTTAAAAAAAGTTTGCACTCCAATTACCTCTCGTTCTGGCCTAAAGGCACTCACTAGTGTTGAGGTACGGTTCCATCTCCACTTGATTGCCATCCTCCACTTTTCCCAATTGTTCATTATTTCATATGGGAGAACAGTCAAAGGCTATTCAATCATTGCGTGAATCTCAGCCAAGCCTGATCCCTCACTCAATGTTGACACACACAGACTTTACAGTAGGGGTCACTAGATAGTTACAATGATTGGGAACCTTGTCTAATTTTCCCTGTCACTTTCTTGAGTCGAGTTGGCTGCGTGTGGGACCAGCAGGAGCAAAAAAAAGACATTGATATTCCAAGAATGACTCGAGTTGCTTCTAATTTTTTTCCTGATTATTTCAATCTTTCGTAAATAAATGGAAGTGCATTGCACGAGCTGAGAATCAATATCAAGATAATAGCCCACAGCATAAATGAAACACAATAAATTCATTTTTTTTAAACAGTGGATGCTCACCCTCACTGTCTTTTGAAGACCAGGCCTGGGTCAGACAAAAGTAATGTTTTCCTCATTAATGTAACAACAACAAATTATATTTGTAAAGTGCCTTTCACGTCGGGAGGACGTCACAGTCAGGGATTTGAACCTGAGCAGGGGATTGGGATCAGGAGGGGAGGAGGGCAAGGAGGGTAGGAGTAGGAGGGTGGCTGAAGATGTGGTCGAAGAGGAGGGTCTTAAGACATGTCTTGAAGGAGGCAAGGGAGGAAGCAAGGTGAAGTGACTATGGGCTGGAGTTCCAAAGAGTGGGGGAAGAGAACCTGAAGGTCCAACTGCTGATGGTGGGGTGGGCCAGGCGGGGGACTTGGAGTGACTGGGGGATGGGGAGCCAGTGGGGCTTCATGACAAAATTAATGCTTGCAAAGCTTTTTGAGGAGGAAGACAGACTAAAAGTGCTATTTTATCATGAGGATAGGGATGCCTTTTGATATGATTTATGATGCTGTGTTGTGCACTTTTATATGACCAAAAAATGTTGCCTAAAATGGTTTCATGAAAACTGTGCCATGTTAAAGAAGCTTCTTGTTTCAATATAACTGTTGGAAAACCAAGTTTCCCCAGCTTTGGTGTCTGGTGGGGTTAATGTGCCACCAGTGCATTCTTTGCCAGATAGATGCTGCATTTCTCATTGGAAAAGCATTTCTGTCCAGTGTTATCTCCCTACCTCGTGTCATAGCCACATACTGTGTGATGCTGGACAGTGAATATCACAACACTGCAAAGCCATTTGTAGTGGGGTGGGGGTGGAGAACCTCATCCAATGCCAAAACATGTGCACTTTATAGTAGAGGAGATTACATAGATCTTTAGAGCGGGAATTACTTTCTCTCCATCTGTAGCCAACTGCCGATGGCCAACAGTAGCTCCATCCCCCCATCATCTCATTATTTCACATGATGAACTAAAGGGTAGGAATGTCTGTGCTTAACACGCAGTTTTAAAGGTTTTAAGGTTTTAACTGCCGAAGCTCCAGCAGTACCCTAATACACACTTTGAGTTCCTCACGTCTCGCCTCTTGCTAATTTATGCTTAATACTCTCCCTCCAGGGAGAGAGTGCAACTTTCATTCCAGACACAGGGAGGTTTTCATGTATGGGTGGCATACATGGAACTGGTTTGAATACTTTTAAGCATGATGATGGGTTTCCACGTGTGATAGCTACCCTGCTGACCAACAATAAAATAAGCATTAATCAGATATTGAATTTGGAAATTGGTTGGTCTGTGTCTCTACCTTTTGAGCCATAAAAGCATCAATCTTATCTGTGTTCAAGAGGATTTTGAGCAGTAGTGTGCTGTAATGGGATAATGGAATGGGTTCTTACCTGCAGATACTGACATGATCGCTCCTGTTGGCACGTCTGTGATTTCATGACTGTTTTATTATCGACATTGACAGAAGATTTCTGGTAAACCTCTCGAGCCCGGCTCACGGTTAGTGTCGATGACCACGAGCTCTTCTTCAGAACTTGCGCGTCGATGCTCAGTGGGTTTGGGATATTTACACAGGTTGTGCACTTCACATCATTATTGCTCCTGGAAGTTTTCAAGCTGTGCTCACTGATTGTGTTATAAGCTTCCATGAAGTATTGTGATGTTGAGCGGTCTGGGCATCGACCCATGGTCATGACATTGGTTGGCCCATGGTAAAGGCACACGTCACCATCTAGATTATCATCTGAGCTCCACCAACCTGAAATATTAGACTTGCTCTTCAGTTCTGACTTCCTGTCTTTGCTCTTGCTACGCTTCCCATGCTTCATGCCATGGGGCTCATCAGGACTCGCTTTATTGCCATTCATGTGCCCTTTGGAAGGGCCCTCGAGTGAATGGGACTTGGTAAAGAGCTTTTGCACTGAATGGACCAAGTGGCGGATCCTCCCTGGGCTGTCGCTGCGATGTTCCAAGGCAGTCCGTTTATACTGCAATGTGTGGAAGCCATCACGACGGATAGGGATCTGCCTCTCAAACTGATCCAGGAGGTTAGCAGGGATACGGTTGACTTTAGTGGATGACGGGACAGGGACCAGAGCACATTCATCCTTTAGGTCATGATAGGAGCTATAATGTCTTCTGGGGAAAGTGCTGCTAGCAATTTGATCATTGAATGGAACCATGCATTCTGACTGAAAGGAGTTCCTCTGGGTATAATAGGGATGATCTCCAGGGTGGGACTCCACTGGATTGAGTAGGTATGGCTTCCTTTCCTGTTGGTGGGGCAGCATGTCACACGAAGGGTCACAGTTGACTGCATAGTGATGGCCTCGGCTGCTTGATAAGCCTTTCATTGTTGACACTGAGACTCTTCGAAAGTCATTTAACAACAGTAGTTACTGGTTGAGGAAGTATCTTGGGTATTTCCTGGAGAAGATAATAAAGTAAAATAATTGATTTCGCTGACGTAATAAGGTATTATATAAAATGCAAGGAATATTATTATTATATGCAACAACGAGAAATATCTGATCACCATGTGCCTGAGGTCTTCAAACAGCAATTCATAATTTCTAAGTATGACAACAATATCAAACAGTAGAACATCTTTAATAAAAAAAACTACCAGTCATCTGGTTATTATTTCTTCCCAGCAATTTTCCTTGCTAGAGTTTGGGACTTCTTTTCAATAATTCCACATATCTGTGTAAGAAAAGACTCAGATCCACAATGACCACTATCACCAGTAGTGCCTGACAATTTGAAATACAATGAAATTTGGCCCTTAAGTGCAACAGGTTCAGTGTTTACCAAATCATTTTGATTGACACGATAGATATTCGTGGAATGACAAACCTGTATAGTGTCTATTTAGAAAGCTCCAAAGAAAGAATGAATCATTGAAAAAATACCACTCAATATAAGTTGGCTCCTCTGTTTAATTAATGAGTTCACATCACAACTTCTACTGCACATCTCAATTGACTTCTTGACAACATTTATCAGTTATTGGCTGTGAAATTTCATCACGGCATATCATTTTTTGTAGTGTTAATTCAATACACTCAGACTGCACAGCAGACCATCTTGTGTGTCAGCCTGGCTCAGGGGTAGCGTTTTCGCCTCTGAGTCAGAAAGTTGTGGGTTCAAGCACCACATTGGGATTTGAAATCACATAGTCTAAAATGACACTCTAATGCAGAGTTGGGGATATGTTGCATTGTAAAAGATGCAATTCTTTGGATGAGATGTTTGGATGAGACCTGTTCAGGTGGATGTTAAAGATCCCACGGCATTGTTTGAAAAGAGAAGGGAGTTTCTTCTCACATTATTGCCAACAATCCCCCAAATAAAATTGGTTATTCAGGAATTAAGGGATATGGGGATAAGGCAGGGTTATGGTATTAGCTGGAGTTAGATTAAAAAATCAGCCATGATTGAATGGCGAGGCAGGCTCGAAGGGCCGAATGGCTCACTCCTGCTCCTACATGTTTTGTTCACTCCATGGCTGTTTGTGGGACATTTCTATCCACAAATTGGCTGTAGTGTTCGCCCACAAAATATACTTGCTAGTATATCCTGTCAACTATATTATGAGTAATTTAGTCACTGAATCTCAGGATAGAGTTAGAGCCTTCAAATCACTGGCGAATATTTATTATTCCTTATGATACATATTGAATAGGTCGTGACACTTTTATCATTATGTGGTGAATACGTTCAAAAGAGCGGAGGCGATGTGACCAAGATGAACAGTACAGAACAGTTAATAATGACAGAATCTGACGAATCATGGGAGTTTTGCGATGACTATTGCGAATATACTTCAGATTTAAATTACCAGTAAATTATTCAATACTGTATGTCTAAGTAGGCTTCTTGGATAGCTCTGTGCATAAATGCATCATATTTTGTTACCAGAGCCATGCAGACAAGGACTAGGCCTGGTTTGTGCTGCATTAGCTGAAAGGATGATTGTGGTGGCCTCAGCATCCCTGGGCTAGAAAGTGGAAAATTCAGCTCAGGTTCAGATTCCTGAACTCTGCAAGAAGAGTACAGCTGTTGGATAAGAATTGAACTGGTTTCCAATGTAAAGCTCCCTGGAGTCAACTTCTAGTCACAAACGAACAATGGTCAATTGAGTTGAAGTATAGGATAACCTATGGCACACTTTGTGGCAGTATATCCTAGCCTCAGATAAATAACATAGCTTGCTCAAGGAAGACTCTTTAGTAATAATAATAATCTTTACATTTGATATAGCACCTTATCCTGTCCTTGAGATTTCTCAAAGCTCTTCACAGAATATATTGATGGAGGCCAGAGATACAGACTAGAAAATCAAGTTTGCTTCTCATATTGGGACTTTGAACTTACAGTGCAGACAGACACTCTCTTTCAGTAACAGGGATGTGCTGCATTACTGGAGGTGCCATCCTTCAGATGAATTGTTAAACAGTGGTCTTGCCTATTGAGATGGGCATTAAAGATCCTGTGGTATTGTTCAAAAAGAGAAGTGAGTTTCTCTGGCCAACAATCTTCCAGATTAAAATTTATCATTCAGAGTATCCAAATCAACCTACTAAGTGTTAATATATGTATGATTTCTGCTTATTTGAAATGGAGAGCACAATCTCTAATCTGACAGATTTAGGCACTGGTTGGCATGAACCAAAGCTTGTATACCACACTTTAACCAACTAAGACCATACAATTTGCCATTGCAAACATGATCTAGAAAGATTCTCATTTCTTGCTTCTTTCGTGAAATTGCTGCTCCAGAATAGTAGCCTGTTGCTATCCTTCCAAACAACTACAATCATACTATATATAAAATAACAAGGGTAAGCCCCTGCCCCCCACACTTGCCCATGTATTCATTCATACAAACCCATAACCTTTCTAAACTGTGTCTGTAAAATATCAGCAAAAGACTTGGCTCATAATCTGGATTCTGGTTCCATACATATCCAGTCAGGATTTATATGAAAGTTGTAGTGAGTCAACTTCACCCACAACAGCCACAATACAACAAGAAGAAAATTACATCTATATAGTGCTTTTCACGTCGGGAGGATTTCCCAAGGCGCTGGACAGACAGAGCTGAGGTTCGGGATGGGGGAGAGGGGAGGGCAGGGGAGGAAACAAGGAGATCAAAAGCACGGTCGAAGAGGAGGGTCTTGAGGTGGTCTTGAAGGTGGCGAGGGAAGGGGCGAGATGGGGGGAATTGCGGGATGGAGTTCCAGAGGGTGGGCACAGAATGGTGGAAGACCAGCCCGCTGATAATGGGGCGAGCAAGGCGGTGATGTGAAGCAGGCGCGAATGTGAGTTAGAAAGGATAGTTGAGGGTCAAACAAGACCCCAAGATTCTGGACTGGCTTAGCAAGTACACCATCTGTGGTAACTCCCCTGGATACAGAGCAAGCATTTCACCAAACTGAACCGATTTTCTATTCTCTGTGTTTTATGAACGTTTATTCAAAAATATAATCTGATTATTTGATCTTTAAAGGGCCTTTGAGCCACTTTTTACATGACAGGCACTATACAATTGTTGACCCTGACTCATACTGTTCTTTAATTAATGAAGGTTTTATAGCAGTATATTATTTTAACACATACTGATCACATTATTTCCCAGTAACCAACTGTTATGGTTAATCCTTGGTAAATCTCACTTATTGAATGCTTTGCAGGATGGATAGAATCACGCATCAATGAAACGCAATCGATCCCTACACCAGGAGCCTCTAAGAAAGCTAAGAAAAAGCCAACGAAGTTCACAGTATGTGTTGTAAAACTATAGCTCTTTTTGGAATGATTTGAAGGCTGTAACCTCATCTCATGGGTTCAGTAAATGATAGTAAACTGCCGTGACTTTGCTCCTGTGGTTTATGATGGAATCTGAATACTGTTGCCTGTAATTATTCCAGGACAGTCATTATTTTCTGTTTTTGCATGCAATTCACATATAAGTAAACTTATGGTGAAAGGGTCAAAGAGGCTTCCTTAGACACAAGTGTAGTGTCAGCATTTACTTTTCCATTATTATAATGGAAGCTAAATAAATGATAAAACAGGAAAACCGCTGTGATCCATCACAAAAATGTAAGAATGTTCCTTTGCAGCATTTACAGTGTATTAGTTCTCATTCTTTATGAGTTCAATTTAATTTTCTCTTACAAAATGCTCACCCACAAAAACACAGTAACTACACTTTATAGTATATCCTGTGAAGCAATTTGAGACTTCCTTCCGACGTGAAAGATGCTTCACCAAGCATAAGGATTTTTGTTATTATTCTTTCTCATTACACATTTTCCCCAAATGATCCTTGGTGCTAAAGTGGAATCGAGTTCTCTGGATGTAAAATAGACATCTCTTTTAAGATATCACCAGCCCTTCAGGACTGAAGGTAACACTTGCCTTTTCTAACTCTCCATCTTGTAACAAAGCACTCCTTAAGACTCTGATTTTCTCTCCCACTGCTGAGAAAGAAACTGATAGCAATAACAAATTTTGCAATGCTTGCCTACCATATGTTTTACCGGGGGATTTGGAGGAAATGACTGTCAAATTAAGTTTATCAAAAGATGCAACCAAGGAAGAAAAACCCTGCAGTCCGTGGAACTTTGGGAGAGCCGTGAATTTTTCGGCAACTTTGGTATCGGGATGTTCACTTCTGTGCCCTCATTCTTATTCAAACCAGAAAGTGCAGCTTTAATTTAGTGAAATTCTTTCTGTGTCAGAAATCATTAAAGCAGGAATGAGCTCGTAAGTGTGCCTTAATTGGCAATTAATGTCTTCACGCCAGCGTTAGTTAGCATACATCGCAAAGAGTGTCTGAACTACTTCGGAAGTGTACTAATAATCAATGGTTAATGAGGTCTTTGGATTTTATTACTATGGGTTGCTGGAGCCTCAAGCAACACATTTTAATTAGTGATACGTTTTTCAAACAACAAGTGATAGGTCAGCGCAGGCAGGATAAAATACCATTCCCTCGAAGTCATCAATCTGCAGTTTAGTGTCCTGCAAACTTGACACACACTAAGAATCTGGCATTATTTCTCAGAAGGTTTATCACCAACATGGTCCAAGAAAATCAGAAAGAGAACCCAGTGTTGGTTTAAGCTTGCTCTTATATGTTGCTTTGTGTTGCAGTTGTGAGCACTCTCGCCTATGGCAATATTAGATGTCAGATGTCCTTATATTGTGTTACAGTCATTTTTCTATCTCATGATGACTGCTCTCAGTCTATGCACATGAAGTATTCCCCAGGACAAAAATGCCTTATTGAACCTACCAGAGGTGATCATTTCTGCTAGCAAGTAAAGCATGCCTATTTGTTTTC